AAAAAAAAAAAAAAAAACTGAAATCAGCTCCTAACAGAGGCTTTAGCAAGAGCCGTTCTTGCAGCGCCGTCAAAATGTCCACGCCGCATCAGTTTTGAAAATTTGAAAGTTTGGCCGTTACAGCCTCGGAAGAAAAATCACTTTCAATGGTTTCTTCTCTGACTGCATACATGAACAGGTCTTGCTAAGGTTTCTTTGGGGCATCTGGCCAGTTACCTACGTGAATTGGCCACCGTGCTCTGAAAACGAAAATTTGAGAGTTTGGTTATGAGGTCGTGCCCAAGGGCAAAGATCAGCCCCTGAGACAGGCTCAGAATCGACCCCCGAAGAAGGCTTCAAGCCAGCGCCTGTTATTCCAGTTCCGCCTCCTGCAAGCTGATTCGCGCTTCATGTTTTCCGATGCGGTCCGAGGCTGTTTTCTAATTCGCGCCCCCTGTTTTCCCGTTCGCGAGGGCTTGATTCACGCGTGCGTTTTCTGTTTCGTGCTTCACCCCTGAGCATCCTGAGCTGAGGCAGGTCTCACATATCACTGCAGCAATTATTGAAATCGCGTGGACCCGTCTTTAGCTGGTTCTGGGACATGCCTTACTTTCACGCTTGGCGTTCCCCGGCCTGCCATCTTTGCTGACTGTACCGTCTCAACTTCTCCCGTCAAAGAGCTGCTTTTGCAGGGGAGGACCTTAGCTTCTTTGCAACGACTGCGCTCTGCCCTCACACGTGCCCATAGCATTGCACGCGTAGTAGTGAGGACTGCCGAATAGAAAGCAGCACTGTTTGCAAGGCTGTCCCATCCCTGGTCTTCTGACAGATTTTGCTTCCAAAGCGCACTTGCCACACAAGCTCCCATGGCGCATAAAAGGGTCAGGCAGCGACAGTCACACTAACAAGGACGAAGATGCCGAATGATGCTAGCGTTTCTGATCAAATGGCTTCTGGCCTAGCATGTGTATTCTACATGCAGCGATAATGATCTTTACAGACCAGCGCAGGTTCACTGACTTTGATGGCTGGAGCCTGGTGCAATCCATCATTCCGAGCATCATGTAAACCCCTGATCCAACTAGCATGTTGTGTCACTGTGAGTGTTATTCGTTGGGAAGGGGGACAGCAGCTTGTCTCAGAGGCTCATGTGCCATGGCGTGATCGCCAAGTATCTGGCTTGCAGCAACAAATTGTTGTGAAGTCAAGGTAACGCAAGCAGCTATCACACCATGAGGCCACAACCTCTGGAAGATGGTCAGCCGCCTGCAGCAAATAAAGAAGCTACATGCAGCCACGACTCAGCCTAGAGCAGCATGTCTGCGCCATTGATCTCCCTTTCACGTGCATGCTCCCCAAGAACATCTCTCAGCAAAGCGTGAAACGGTGCAAAGCAGCCAGGCGACGCATGTCAGCCATCTTTCCATCTTCGGCTATTCCCAGCTTTCGGCCTTTTTCGTACAATAGTATCCGTGGGGCAGGCCGAGGCTGTCATCCCTTTAAGGGAATGTCTCAGCCGCTCCACCCCTGCTCAGAAATGTGAACTCTCCACACGCGGTAGCCTGCACTTGTCGCGGACTCCACGGACACTAGCTGTGTATCACGGCTGGGCTTCAAAGCAATCCCGTAAGCGCTGGGCCCGCTGGGCTTGTCTGCGTCCAGGCCTTGGTAAAACATGAATTGCCAAGCAAACTTGCTACGGGACACGGGTGTTGCATAAGGCAGCGGACCCAGGTCGTCACCTTCAAGTATCATGCCTCCAACAAAGTGCCAGTTTCACGTCAGGCTCAAATGCGCCATCACGCTTACGAACATCAAGGCCGCTGCTCATGCCAGGAGATGGGGGTTCTTTCCGAGGAACCTTGGCTAGCATTGATCACATTGAAACACTGCAGATGGCACACAGCAATCTACGCGATGTTCAATGTGCCTTCACGTTTGCGATTTTCTGGTCAAGGCCATACCTGCCACAAGCAACTGCAAACTCTCTGGCTGGCTTCATGTTAGTCCCTGTCGGCCAGGGGTCCTCAAGCTGCTGCTGTAAGATCGGGAACAGCTGGCCATCATTTACTCGACCGTGTTGTCGCAATAGCTCGGCCACATGAGCCACTGGTGCTTCGTTCGTTCTGTTTAAGCTGCAGAAAGCCACATTTGTGCACGGACATGCTGGTGGTATTGCAGGGGCCCTCTGGTCGCAGTCTCTGATTCTGGTGGCATGCGCACGGATACCCAGTTTTTGTTGCTTGGCGATACCAGCGCAAGCGCACAAGCCAGAATGCAATACCCAGTCTTTCCATCTGCTCTCGACCGGTCTGCCGTGTAAAGCTGAAAAAGCTCAGTGTCAGGAATGGAAGGATGAGGTGGATTTTAGTGTCAACCAAAAAACTGCAACAAAGCAAATGTTACACAGAAACGAAAAAACAATCAAACTGTCAGAAAAAAGAAAGGTCCCAAATTATTTATGACAACAATAATAACAAACTACAAAAAATTAAAACTAACTATGTAAACCTATCGCAAAGGTAGACTAATATCGAAAGATCTGGTGAAAGTTAATCATTCACTTACAAATAATTCACCAAAATATTGTGGTTGGTTGCAAGGAAATGATAGAATAGATTTGATTGCACCACATTACCATAAACTGGATTATGGTGCTAGAAAAAAATGTCTATGTTAAACAGCTGAATTCATAAACTGGGATGGATTAACGCATACAAGCAAGTTTTAGAACAGCATTGGGTAAACTTGTCCTCCTGCTTCTTCTCCAGCTGTTACAACCACCCAGGGCACTGCTCTGCGCCCGAGCTTGTTCGGTGCGTCATGCTCGGAACCCCAGAGGGTCGAGTTGCCTATAATCCCCGGCCATATACCAATTGCTCTGTACCCTCAGATGGAACTATACCCACAAGTTATGGTCACCTCGTATCTTAGCCTCTCTCTCTCCCTCCAGTCTATGGAGGACCCTTGCAGCCCTCACGTGGTCGCACAGCTTCCCTCTACGCATGTGCTGTGCATTGGCATGCTTTGCGCTACTCAACAGCTCGTGTCTCGACCTAACGTCTGCACCCCTGCGCTGCTGGCACGGTTGCAATCGCTGGAAGTGGCTTCATGGGACCAGAGGTACCTCTAAAGCTCAAGGCCGGCTGGGTCACAAAATTTCGGAGCTTACCCCATAGCCGGAGTGGACTGTTACGCCCAACTGTCCCCCGCTTACTATTACAACATCTTCCGCGCTGCCCAGCGTGCCCAAAGTCAAAACACCGCCTGCCTCGTTCAGAGTCCAGGGCAGAACCAAACACCGTGCAACTTGTCCTGTCCCCCTGTCTCGCGCATACGCCAGGTTCGCTTCGCAACAGTTTGCCCATTGCCTCTCCCTTGCTCGAAAAATCTGCGTCCTGCATGGGGCTACCTTCGAACACTTCCTTTTCATGATGGGCCCGCAGTCTACATCTTTTTCTCGCAACATTTCTACACTGTCCGCCGGTGTGCTTATGATGCGCTGAAGGTTTTCTTGCTTTCCCACCTCTGCAGAAGCAATCTCAATGGTCTCTAATTCCGTTTCGCTTTCACAAGACACTGTCAGGTTTCCTTCTGGTCGCCGAGGCAACTAGCAGGGGGGAATCTGCTTGCGCCTTTCGTTCCATGTGGGCCCGACTCGTGATCGGCTCAATGTCAAGCTGGGGTAGAACGCATGCCGAGAATTCATAATTACAAATCTTGCTCAGAAACCTATCTATTCAAACCTTCCTGAACCATGTAAGGCAAATCTAGACACTAGACGATTATCCAAGTGCCAGATGCAACTGCTGTTCCTTCCTATGGCCCCTGTGGCTCTCCACTGGCTGCCTGTCAAGCGATGCCATAACAGGCTATTCCAAGCATAGCATGTTAGCATGGTACCATGGAGGGGGCACTCTTGCTTTGCCAAGCCACTTTGCTAGCTCGCCCGGCACAGTGTAGCGTGCTGGCCCGGGGCTTGCTTCACCGAGTTGGTGAACCTCTTCAATCGATTTGCACTGCCACCACAGCATAGGCTAACATACGCCCAGGGTGAGAAGTAGCAGAATGTAGCAGGCCTTCGTCCGGGTCTTCAAAGTAATGTCATATAGCGTGCCTCTCCTCAGGCAAGGCCAAGGATGTCAGAACAACACGTTCAGCCGTCTGCCAAACACGAGTGTGACCCATGTTGCGGCAGCGGCACAGAACTGGTGAGTTCGTTCCAGGCGTTGTGACGCAGTTGTATGCATCTGGGCCAGGTTTACCCAGGCTCCTTGGCAGTGGTTTCCCCGCAATGCAATTTCTTCTACAAATTCATGACCGCAAGCTAACCAACCAAACCAACCAGCATCCTACGCGCGAACGAGGCTGGTACTCTTTATCCTGAGACAGAATAGTTCTGGCACCCAGCGACCAGGTTGGGTTCCTCGCGTTTGTCATTCACCCTTCGAGTCCCCCCGCAAATCGGCACAAGTTAGCCAAGGGGAACATGCAAGGGAAGAATGCACAAGGCAGAGCAACACCCTGGTCCTTGCAGGATACACCCATGAAGATTTGCCTCATCGCAAGCGATCGGCTCATCTGAATCATGCTGAAGCGCAGCCGAGAGCTGCAAGGCAGCACGAGACCCCGGCCAGCAGGCAAACTCGTGTTGTACTTTGCTGGCCCAGGCCCACTAACCCCGGACCTGGAGTCCCGCTTTTTCTCCTGCCATGTCCCGTCTGCTCTCGATCTGCAACTGCTGCTCCTAAGCCCCTGAACCGCCTCAAAGGTGGGGAACCTTTCCTTCAACTTGATGCCGGGTCGAATGGCGTTTCGCTTCACCTTTTGCTGGGGAGTACTTGACTCTTGACATCTCTTGATTTTCTGGATCTGTGCTGTAAGCAAGACCTTGGCAAGCGCCTTGTCAACCTGCTTGGAGTAGTCGCCATAGGTGTTCGGACCCACGTCAGCATCCTCCGGTCTACTGTAACTGGGACCTCGTCAACTGAGAGATATCCACAACTGCAGCGACTGCAGTGAAGACAGTGCAGACTTAAGGCTGCCACGCTCTCCGATACCGAAACTATTCGCCTGACCAAGCTCCCATTTTTTCCTCCAGAAGGCACCTGGGACCAAGCCAGATACATCGCTCAGACAGGATAAAAAGTGACATGGTCAAGGCGCTGCTTGCGAGAGCGCGGTCGTACTTCGGACTGCACTTCAGCTTGAGGACCATGGATGGTTCATGCATCTTAGTGCAGAAGCCGATGCTGTCAACACGAGCAATTCCAACAGCGAAGATCCGGGCATATCCACCTGGTCCTCTGCTATGTCCGAAGCCAAAGCCTCCAAGAATGCAACTGCTGCTCTGCGCCCTCAATTTGAAATTCGAGCATGCGACACGCCCATCGTGCTTTGAGCGCCTTTTCGCCAGCCTTGGAAAGGAGGTCCGCCATGCGGCGTGGCCAGGTCGGGCGAGCTGAGAAACATTTGCATGTTCACCATGGCTCACGCCCGGCGCGGCCTTGGAACTCTGGGCTTGTCGAATGGATGAAACCCACATCTCATCCAGGTAACGGACCGCAGCCGCAAGCCTGGCAGGACGCTCCAGGGCCTTGGCGTGAACATACATTCAAAACCAGCACCATCCTAGAACAAAAAAACGTGCCTTTTCCTGTGCTGGGAGTGCCGCAGCAGCAGGCCCAGGTCAGAACGAAACTCTAAGTCCAGCTTCTGAGCTTAGACATGCTGCTGACATCCAGATGCAATCATGCCATGCCACAGGTCTTTGACTTACTTGAAACCGGCATCACTTGCACTCGATGGCAGCCGGCCTATCTTCCTTTCGCAAAGCCATGACGGTTGCCTCAGCAAAAATATGTGTAGTCCAAATCTTTGCCCTATACCAAAGCACTATGCAGCACTTCTTTTTTGCATGAGCTCCTTACTTTGAGCAGCTTAAAGCACGGTCGGCCGGTGTTGTAACAATCAAGCTATGCCACTGCGATTCACAGCCTCATTCAGGAGACGCCAAGGCACCTGGCTCTTCAAACCGCTTTATCCAAGAAAAACCGGATGCCCACATGAAGCAGAGCTGCAAATGGGACGTAGGACCCAATTTCTTCGGCCTTGATGACAAAAGACATACTTTGCAGTCAGATCTGCTGGTGTGACTGCCAGAACATCGAATACACAGCCTGTTGCCTTGTCAACTGATCGCTTCATGGTCGCAAGAAAGTTGCTGTGACTGCTGGGGGGAGCCTCAGCTGTGAAGTTCCACTGCTGGCGCAGAAAACAATCAGCTTGGGGCTGTCTGCTGGGATAACATCTGCAACCCGGTTTCCGTTGACATCTGCTGCACAGGAGGTCGGTTTCCTGCACTGCTAAAAAATGAGAGGAAAAAAAAAAGGTGCGCAAGCCTGCTAAAAGAGTCGCCTGCTTCTGGCTTGAGATGTCTTGCTTCTTGCGCTTGGGGCGCTTCTCGGTGCCTTTCAACCGCCAGCTGTGCGACGGCGGATGAGGGTGGCATCGCAGAGGCTGCAGGCTTGGCTGCCGTGGTGTATGTGCTGACCACGGACTTCCTCAGCTCAATGCTTGTACACCAGCACAATCACAAATCACTCCCTGAAACATTGGCCAGCCAGGCGTCTGTGCTTCCATAACAGCCGACATATTGGGCATGGCCAGGTTGGCGGGCAGAGAGGTTCCCAAACTTGTGGGGAGAGTGTTTGTGGGAGCTACTGGCATAGAGGATGCTGCCGGCATTGGTGGCATTGGCATGCCGTCCATGAAGGGATTCATCATTGGCGGCATCATGTAGGGATTGTAGCTGCTGTAGCCCATCACAACAGTGGGCCCGGGAGGGCCTGGTGGCCCCATTTCACCAGCATCGCCTGCATCTCCGGTGGGGCCTTTTGGGCCACGAGGCCCTTTCGGTCCCTTTGGGCCAAGCATCCCAGGTCCCATCAAGGCTGGCGACGCAGCCAGCACAGGTGCCGGAGCAGGAGCAGGAGCAGGCGATGCTAGCATGTTGCTGGAATCGCTTGCCTTGCAACGCGATATGTAATACTCGCAGTGTCTCCAAATGGCCCAGCCTGCAGGCTCTCATCTCCAAGCTTGGAAAGAGCAACGGTGTTGTGATGAAGCCTCACCCTCCTGCCAGTGTCAGAAGCATCTCTGTCCCGATTGCGTGCAGCCAAGCACCCCATTCAGAGTCTTGTACGACAACTTAGCGCCCGGCTCATCCTTTGCAGCTTTTAGAGCCCTAACTGTTTCGACGCCTTCACGTGTGCAAGCGCAGCTGCAGGCTAAGGAAAGCAACATGTACCTTGTTGCCTTGTGAACCTTCCCATCTGTCAGATAAGCTTTGCACTTCCACGAAGTAAGCCAGCAGTTGTCTCAGTAGATAGCAGGTGAACCTTTACCTCAGCAAGCCGCGAATTGTAGCTGCCACAACATAGGCACGGCAGCATAATAAGGCATTAGTTGATAAGCGGGCCGTTTAGATTGGGTATGAGAGTAGGATCCCGAGTTGGTAAACGTGATATGTAGCTCGTCAAATTGGCAGGCAAGGCACTGAAGGGGCTTGCTTAGCACCTGCTGATGAAGCCAGAACCAGCACTAGGGCCGCAAGCATCGCCGGGCCCCTGAGCGAAAAGGATTAACTACAAGTCTTGGCAAAGCCATCGGTGCCAGGTTTAGGCGTCGACCACTTCGTTGCGGGTCTGCAGCCCGGATTAATGCACTTGGCCCAGCATGGATCTGAGCCAAGACCTCGCGTTTTTTCGTACATGTGCATGACTATCGCAACCCTGGGTGCCAGCACCGTGGACAAGCTGTCATGATGCCACAAACTTGGAGATCAGCTGCCTTCTGCTTTTTGCAGCTGAGCTAGCTTCAGCTAGGGTCGAGTCGGACTACATCTCACTCCTCTGTCTCCTCTGTGAAATTGGAACCAGTCACTTCATCTATGAGACCTCAATCCACAAAGCTGGCAAAGGGCAAACGAATGTGTAAAGCGCACAGACACACTGTCAGATTGGACTGTCTGAGCTTACGGCCCCAAGGGACAAAGGGCAAATAATCCACAATGGTGGCAACCTCCTGATACATTCCACCCTTAAATGGTTTCCAGGTCACATACGGGCCCTCACGAGCTGCCTGTAGCTTGTGCTTTCTGTAGGTCTCGCTTAGAGACAGGGTCAGTCATAATACTTTGTGCATAGTCGTATCTTGTTGCAAATCTCGTTAAGCACGTCCTACTTGAGCTGGAAACTCTGTCCGCAAGTGCGTCCCTATAACGATTAGGCCAGAAACCCCAACTAAGAATGGAAATGTGAATTTGATTACTTGTTGAAGGGGAAGTGGTCAGGCACAACGCGTGATTCAGTGGGGTTAGCTCACAGTTCAAAAGCTCCTCTGCGGTGCTCTGTGTAGTGCTCGCTTCTGACCTGAATCTTACAGCTTGATGCGGAACAGTGGCAAGATCAACGTCAAGTTCGTTTGCAATATCGTGCCTAGCAGAGCTCTTCATGCTCAAAGGCTCTATGGCCCGCGCGTACCGCTGCTGGTCCCCCCAGCAGATGATTTTGTGGTGGGCTGTTTGGCTCCATCACTGGACTTTGATGATGCACCTGGCCCTGTACCGGATCCGGCGCCGCCAGCATTGCTGGCTGCGTCGGCTTTGGCTTCCTTCATGGCCTTTTCGGCGGCATCTTTGAGAGCGGACTCTGCGCTTGGCACAGCTTTGCCACCAGTCTTTGTAGCATCATCCACACCGCCTGCCTTTGCCGAGTCGCGGTTGCCCGCAGGCATGCTCGACTCACCAGGCTGTGCTTTGGGCTGCGGTGCTGCCTTGCCAGCTTCGACCTCTATGCTGGCAGGTGCCGGTGCTGGAGCCACCACGGTTGCCGGCACTGGTGCTGGCGCTGCCGGGGATGGCATTGCTGCTTTCAGAATGGATGCGTCAGCAGAGTAAGGAGTACTGGCTGGAACTGCTGCTGGCGCCGGCGCAGGCAGGCTGTACTGTTGCACAGGTGCTGCAGTAACAGGTGCAACTGCAACAGGCGCCACCACTGGCGTGGCAGGCGCGGGTGCAGCAGCTGTTGTTGTAATTGGTGCTGCAGCGGGTGCCTCGTTCAGCACCGCAGCCTTCGAATCAAGATGCAAGCTCATCATATCTTATCATGGGGTTCCCAAGCACAGCCAAACGCAGCAGGCAGCCTCAACGGCTGGTGGTGCTGCCAACGAAGCAGCAGCTGGTGCCTTGCATTATTGCAGTGTGCCAGGTGTGCTTGGGGGCCGGGGCCAGGGGAGGCAGGCGAGCCAGCCCTCGTGGACATGTAGCTCTACAGTACACACACCTGACTATATGCTCTATCGTCCTAGAATTCCAGCTCGAACAACTTCACGAGGCGCAGTACCACGCACGCTGTTGTTCCCCAACGCAATTGGTGAGTGTTGCAGTCAAATGATGCTTGGCAGGCTTGCTGGGGCGTTGCAAGAAGTTGTCGTCGTAGTGGTAGCAGTAGTAGCAGTAGCAGTAGTACTAGTAGTAGCAGCAGCAGCAGTAGCAGTAGTAGTAAGGGTAGGAATCGTCGTCGTCGTCGGTGGTAGTAGTAGTAGTCGTCGTCGTCGTAGTAGCAGCAGTAGTAGTAGTAGCACGCGCGCTTGATGTATTTGACGACCCGTTATTCTGGTTGTCCCTTAACTGGAGAAGTAAGAAAACACTGCAAAACACGGAAGGGGGCTAACTTGAATAAGGGGCAAAGTTCGCAGTCAGGATTTTCCGTGTCTTTTTTGTAAAGTCATGATGGGAAAACACAAAATCCCTGTCCCACGCAGTGTTTCGGGCTCCGCGCGCTTTTTGCAAAACATACATTTCACACAATCGCACATGGCAGCGAAGCAGAAAGTGTTGCAAAACACAGCATTTTTGCAACAGAGCAATTTTGCAAAAAACGCGTGTTGGAAATATTAACTTTTTAGTATAGGCGACATGCTATTCTGTGGGCAACTACACGAGGAAAAGCAAGTAAAGAGTGGATTCTGTAAACAAATTCCATGGATTGGATTTGCCATTATTTCTATGGGAAGTATGAAGTACCAGAATTCCGAGAAGGAAAGCCCTAGCCTGTTGGCTCCGAACTTCAGTTTAGGGTTTAGGGTTTGTGGGTTAGGCTCTCAAGCTTAATTACCAAGGGATTAGGTTTCAAAGTCACTTTCATTCTGGTTGCCCTGAATCCCGACAAAAGCCCCAATATACACACAAAACTCAACTTCTTTAGGGCTCCCAAAACTACCCTGCGGGAGGAAGTGTGACCGCACCTTGTCATGTGGCAAAACGGTGGACCTGTGGTACATGAGATTTCCTTGGATTGATTGTACTTGGGGTCCCCATAGTGGGGTTCCTAGTATATGGGTGGATGTCAAAATTATGATCCCTTTTTGGGTACCCTAAATATCAGGTGCCGTATTATAATAGGGATCCAGAACAGAAAGGGACCATAATTTTGACAACCACCCATATGACGAGTCCCTATATAGAAATTTCTCGCATCTAGGGAGCAGTGATTCAGACCAAGTCCCACACGCATGTTTCCGAAAATGGCCAGCCCTAATGTTGATCCTGACATGAACTAATTTGCTATATGGACTCGCAAAAAGGTCGCCCCATTCTTGGCGACTTCCGGATACTCCACCCTTACACCCTGAACCCAAAACCTGAAGCAGTAGTTTCCAATGGGTAAAGTATTCTAGCCGTGCTTGCTACCCTAAAGTCCCCGATTTTTTTCTTGGGCCTCTTTGCTACCCCTTTAACTTTCAATAAGTTAGGCCAAGTACTGTTGATGTTCTGTCTACCCTTACAATCCTGAATAGTACAGGCTAAGTAGCATTGCGCCTTCCTGCTAGCCTAATGTTGTAAAGGTGTGCAAGGTCTGAATGCCTATAAGATATGAATATCATTGGGTATTTTCTTAGTCTTGCAAGTCTGAATGATACAAGTTCCAGTACATGTTAAGAAGTAGAGCTTGTAAAGGTGCGGGAGGTTTTCTTCGGAGCTTGCTGTGCCTAATTAAAATCATTTATGAGCTTCCCATGCCTGAAGTCGCTATGCACGTACTTATCACTCCCCCCACCCCCCCCCTAACAAAAGGTTATCAAAGCTGTGAATTTCCGTAAAAATCCAAAAGCGCGTTTTCGGCCAAAGTAGCTCAAGCTGGAAAAAGCTACCAAACCCTGCAAATGCCGGTGCATTCGTCCAAGGGCACAGAAACAGAGCTCTCAAAAACTCAAGGAAAAGCAGGCTGTCAGAAACGTACCAACGGCCAATTGTACTGCAAATACCAATATGTTAGGCTGCTTCGACCACACGAATGCAAAAAAGACAAAAAATCCTGGCTGGCAACTGGAAGAGGCAAAACAAGTAAATAACAGATTCTGCAAAGAGGAAATGCTGTAAATAGCAGNNATGGCGGCTGTCATACTCAGACAAAAAAGCATACAAAAGAGAGTCGTCAAATACCAAAAGTATGCCTAGTAGCAGCAGCAGCAGCAGCAAGCAGCAGCCGCGGTGGCGTAGCTGTGGCAGCAGCGGCAGAAGCAGCAGCAGCAGTAGCAGTAACAGTAGCAGTAGAAGCAGAAGTAATAGCCGTCACCATCCGCTGCCATCGTCGCAGTGGCATGTTGCAAACGCACTGTCAACCTTTACAAGACAAGGCAAGAGAAAGACCCCTGTAACAGTCACAACAATCACGGTACTTGCAATCGAGGTAACCTTGTTTTGTCATGGGGAAAGGGGATGAGAGTGGAGGGTTGAGGGAAGGGGCAGCTAGCCCATTGGGCCCATGCGCAGCGCAGCACAAGCCAGACATTCTTGGTTATCCAGGAAACTCCATCCGTGGAAGCAATCTTATACCTGAGAACCGCCGCAGCAGCAGCAGCAGCAGCAGCAGCAGTTGTTGTTGTTGTTGTTGTGATAAGACATACCATCAATACTGTCTAACAGAAGCAATGCGAACGGCAAAGCACCCAGAGTGTCCATGCCTGCAGAAGTTATGAACAGGACCATTAACGTTGATTCCAACAAAGCATCCATTGGACCAATTGCAGCAACGGGCACGCTATCACAAAAACATACAAAAACAGTCAGTGAAACACGACGTTCAAGAGTAAGAACTATCAATAACAATGAACATGATCGTCATGCGGAAAATAGTGTAACAATATCTTCCATGCGTCCTTCCTGCTTCCCGTATTGCTTCCCGTCTTGCTTCCGCGCTCTCTACAGTTCTTGCTTCCCTCCTATTTGCCTTCTGCAGCACAGGAGAGGGCGAGGAACAAACAGGAGTATATGTGATCAGCACAGAACCACGTGTCAGCAAAAATGTGCAGAGATGCTGGTGCTCCAGGCAGCGACTCCACAGCAGCCTTGGGTGATAGGGCAGCCGCCAATTGAGTCGTTGTGGGGACCTGAACATGGCACTTGCGACTTGCGAAGCTTATTACTTTGAACAAACGGCAAACCCGGCCTCGGCGACTGCTGGAGCAGGAGCCACTGGAGGGGCTTGTGTCAGTGGGCTTGCCACACCAGGCTGGGCCCCCATAAAAGGGTTCATGGCAGCCATGGGATTCATCATAGGGTTCATGTAAGGGTTCATCATTGGATAAGGATATGCAAATGGCATAGGCATCCCCCCCATCGGTGGCATGCCCAAAGTTCCCGGTGGCCCAGGTGCGCCACGCCGTCCTGTCCGACCTTTCCTGCCTTTGGGTCCTGCAGGTCCTCGGATTCCCGGAGGACCCGGAGGGGAAGAAAACGCTTCCGTGGCCGGTGCAGGTGCGGGCGCAGCATTGGCCTACGCTCGTCAAAAACAGCTTAAGGAACCGTCTAACAATCTGCCGCATTGACGTGTGGGTGCTGGATGCCTTGAACATCAACGCATCATCCTCGGAAGTTTTGCCTCCCAGCCAGGCGACACTTCCGCTTCCACTGCCCCAAAAAGTGCTTGGAGCCAAAGCCTCTGCCATCGGATGCCAACTTGGAGCTTGCCTGCAGCACGTCTCAGAACTACACATGCTACACTCTTCCACAGTATCAGGTGCCGCCAAAACACAACGTGCAGCTTGTTGCATTCTACCTGCGCGAGCAACCAAATCAGAAAACTGCCAGTGTGCAGGGACCACATGCCGTCAGTGGCTGCACTTCTGTGAATCTGAAGAAATTGGCGCAGCCCCGGGACACACCTCCAGCAGCCCGAGCAGCAAGGCGGAAATCTGGAAGGCAATAACCTTTCCAGGTAATCAGCAGCGCGCAGTGCGCCGTGGTGCCGCACTGTCATTTCTCTTGGAGCCGGGCCCAGCAGGAGCGATCCCGCATTCTTCGTTACAGTGACAAGCCCCGCCCGCAGGCGGAACAAACAGCTGCGAACAGGGCAGAGAATTATCTGACATCATGCGGTCCCGATGTGAATGCGTTCCCAGCACCATAGCTCCCATCATAAAGCTAGAATCTCAGCAGCCGGCATTGGCAAGGCCGCGACATGCGTGAATGCGCCCCTGCGCATGTGACAAGTTGTGAAGGTCAAGCTGATCTGAAGAAACGTCCCGTAGCAAAACTACGGCGGCAAAGGTCTCTTTCTGTTTGCCGTAGCCGCTCTGTTCGTCAAATCAGCGGATTGAACGCATCCGAAACCTACAAGCAACACCAACAACGGTCTGCAGCCGGAACTTCCTCATTGCAGGGACTAGGACTGTACACATTCGGCATGTTGTCGAGATTCTCCAATTGCAATTAAATGCCGTGCTCAGCTTAGATCAAAGCCAGCTTCTGCGCCTGGCAGCATGTGGCAGCATGTGCCAGCTAGCAAGGAAGTCCTGCTCAAAATGTTGGTAAGGCAGCGGCGGATCGCTTGGAGGACTTTTGACTTGAGGCTCTCGTAACTCACGTAGTCTGGTAGCTTTAGCAAATTGGCACACCTTAGCAAGTTTCTCTGCACAGCGAACAGAAGCAAAGTGGACGCGTTGGCCCGCTCTTCTGCAGCTGGGCTGCGTTGCACTGGTGGGGAGGCGCTCTGAATCTGGCACTCGGTGCACGCAGAACTGCAGGTCAGGCATGTATCGACGCAAAGCAAAGCTGTACCATAGCAAGCTAGCAGCTAGCATCAGTAAGCGCGAACAGGCGAAAATCACAGAGTGCCGCTGGCCTTCGGGTTGAGGTTCTGAAACCTAAAAGGCTCATGTCGTGAGCAGAGCTAGCCTTCTTAAAGCTGTGCCAGGCACAAAAAACAACTTTTGCCATGCGGTCCAGCTTCCCCAGCAGCGGTGCGCGACTGCAAGAGGTGCAGAACCTCTGTGCCATCTCTGCTGTGCGCTATTTCTGCCGCCGCAACAGCCAAGCTGAAGAAGCTTCAAGCTATATAAAAATGCCCGTGGCAGAGCTCGGGCTGCGTCATCAAGAATCTGCCCATGTCTTCTGGCTCGAGATCTTCTTGCCTCATTAAACCGAACTACTCTTCACGTCTGGGTGCACGAAAACATCTGATTCTGCAGCAAGCACCTCAGTGCGGAGGCCCTGACAAGAGCTTCCAAAGCCAAACCACGCATGGGCTGTCGTCCTGGGAACATACAAAACCGCAGAAAGCACATGCATTGCCGATAGGAGACCCATCTGGAATCTGGCCTGATAGCCACCAGAGAGCACCGTATTGGCGCGCAGGTCCTTCACGTCAAACCCAGCTGTGGAGCCAGATATCAAGGTGTTTAGCTCCTGCAAAGACTTGGCTTCAAGTTTCAACAGTTCACTGGAAAGCACGTGAGACAGTCCAACAAGACACTCAATGCGGTTCAGGCCCGAGCATAGGGATCAAACATCTTCAACCAAGCAACTGGCAGCACCTGCGAGATTGCCGCGCAGGACCCACTCGCACAGGTAAAGCCGCGTAGCAGCCTTCTGAAGCCCACTGAGGAACGCTGCATTATGCCGCTGGAACTGCACGTTCGTCCTGGCAACATGCACATTAGTGCGGGAAAGTGCAGGATGCCGAAGTGGATTTCACTGCTGAAATTACTTACTAGGTCTCTCTTGGCTTTTGAACTGGGGCATCCTGGATCGATCTCCAAGTCTTGGGCTCTTTCTTGGATGTTCCCCTATTGATCTTGGGAACTTTTGCGCAACAACTACCGCCTATACCAAGTTATGTAAACGGTACTATTGACCGCGACTCACCTGTAGTTGGCCATGAGGTGGAGGTACCGCGTAAGATTCTCACATGTCACCTTGACAGGCTCGAACGTGACATGCTAGTTACACTGGGACTACAAGAGAGTGAGGTCTCAAAGTATGAGTCAGCTGCGGGAGTGTCACTGCCACCAGGAATGAGATCAATGTCCTCCAGGGCTGAAAGATGCCCACGCTTCTAGTCGAACGGTAACCACCCGGCCTTGTGCACACCCTTCTCAGTAACGGAGATGCCTCTGCTGCTGCAAGTTGGCATTACACTGTTGGCGACAGCTAGGTACTGTGGTACAGCGACCAGATTGTCTGCGCCAGGCAGCTGAACGTGATTCCAAGAGCCTCTACATCTGAACACTCCTCCGGCAGTCCATTGGAGGAGACACAACCAACATATGAAGTCTGTCCTTGATTTGGAGCATGTTTTTGTGCAATTCTTTGTCCAGGGAGGCAATGTCGTCTACCTGATAGTCTGTCGGCTGCCAGAGAGAACAGTAGATCCGTGTCACCGCACCTCATTGACGCGCCCCAGCAACCGATTCAAGAAGACCCGGCTGAATTGCGGCTCCAACAGGAACATCTCATATATGGCCTGTCAACAGAAGCCAAGGCAAGCTCTGGGCCAAACAACCACTTGTGGAGCGGCTAAACTTTGCAAGCGAGCCTTTCCCACAACCTTGCCCAGAAATGTGTACAAGTCAGCAGCTTGCCGGTACTTGGCAAAGGCTGACGTGGCAGGGTAGAGAGTGTGGTCAGACGTTGCGCTGAAAAGGCCGAACCTTACCACTCAATGATTGGCTCAGAATGGGAAGATGCGAGCTCCAGCCAAGCTTGGAACTCTGGATCAAACATTTCTCGGCAGATGTGCACCATGAACTCCTCGCAAGGGCCATGCCCGGACGGAAAGCGGCCGCTGCCGCAGTGCAAAGCAGGTGAATGCCACAGCGCTTTACTTTACTGCCTTAAGCCTACACTGGTCTGGACTGCTGCCTTGAACAAGCCGCCACCATCCACGCCGCTTTCTGGAGTGCCATCCGGAGCAATGAATTCGACACGAAAAGTGTCACGAAGACCTTGCTCATCATCCAAGCCTCAGGCGATAGCAGATGCTATAACCCTGTCTCCTCGACTTGGCAGGCGTTCCCTTCAGAGCATTCGTAGGTTGTCTTTCCCTGCCTTCGAAGGCAGCAATACCATCTTCAACCAAGAAATTTCGACGAATCTGATGCTTATCCATGGCCTGGGAGACGCAACACCACGGTCTGCGAAAACTATGCATTTGTTTTTGATATACGTACCCATAACCATACTTATGGATATACATATATATATATACACATACGCACGTGTCGCTTTGAATGTCCAGGCTCAGGCAGAAGGACCCCAAGGGCCACGGTATGCCCGCCGCTCTTCCTGCGCGAGACAGAGCCCTGAGGCGAGCCATTGCTTCAAAGGCCGGCCTGGTCAGCCAGGATGGCTCCGTGTAGCACGGAGACCCGGTCCTGCATGGCGCTTAGGATATTCAGATATTCTACACATCAGTTTCTCCTTGTAATTGCTACAGGTAAATAATCGCTTGCATGCTTCACGCCTCGAACGGCAGGACGTGAGGAATCTCGGCCAGGGTTGCCTGCAAGGCTCTTTCTGCCAAGCTTTGCGACGAGGTTGCACCTTGACATTTGGGCAAGTGGAACAAGGAACGGGGCCGCGCACTGGTGAAGCCTCTGGGATCCACACTGGGCATGGCGCCCCGCTCAGTTGCCTCGTATGCATCAGTACTTCTAGCCCAGCAACCCCAAAAATTAGCACATCCGCACATTATCATAGCTGCCTGGCCAGCGTCCTCATCGACCTCCATCAGCTCATCCTGGACGCTGCAAGCTTCAGCTGCTGATGCAAATTCTTGGGCATCATCTGCCTCATCTTGCTCATCTTGTGCGGGCTCCATAGGTTCGTCAGGAAGATCAACACCCAGATTTATGGCTGATGGAGCACGTCGGAGCCTGGCAGTGCCCTAATGGCCACCAAGCTCTCTAAGCTGTGACAGAGGCAGTCCACACTTGCAGGGCTCAGAACTGAGGCTGCGTCAGAGCACGCGACTCTGGGATGATCCAAGCCTTCTGCAGCAGCCGAGGATGCTTTGACAGGAAGTGAAGAGTGGCCATTTGAGCCTGCTTTCTTTCGAGAAAACTTGAAGTCAAGTGCAGCGCTCAGGGCCCCTGTTTTGTATACCCACTTGGGACCGGAATCTTCAGGACTGCCTTGCAACTGCAGCAAACCCTGCAACCCTTTTTCCCAGAGAGGCCAGAAGTGAGACATTTTGGCCAGCCCCCCACCCCGGACCCCCAAGCCTCCCAGCCTCACAGCATTCAGGGTACAGTAATGAACCACGCTTCCTCTCAAGAGGAGCCTTTCGCGACTTGATCCTCACAACGTGCTTGCACCAACTAGCCATGCGGGTGCTATACTTCGTAAACAAATCTGAAACACGGTTAGCAGCGCTTAGCAAGGTCTGCCGCACCCAAGGTATTTCCAGCACTCGATTTCAGAAATCGCTTTTTTCCACAACAAACTTGAGTTTCGGCGCTCGGGCAGTTTCGAGTCACTGGTCGTGAGCCAAGGCCGCGGCACTGTCGCTCTCCAAGATTGCTTTCCGCCGATGCCGATGATAAAGCAAGTTGATCTGAGCTGCGCGATCTTGATCCACATCCACGCATCCACGCCTGTCCCCTTGGGATCTGAGTCCGGGACCAGAGAAGTGAGGCTGCCGCGAAGAGCTTTTGCGGCCGGCAGAAGAACCGCCTCGCATGGAGGTGCTGGACACACGGCTTCCGTCTGCCGAAGCACTGTTCCACCTGGTCTGGCATGGTGATCACAAAGTGATAGGTCAAACGGTTCAGGAACGGGAGCAGCTCTCGCACCTGCCATGCCAACCTAGATCGTCTAAAACAAGGTGCCTGGGCCTGATATACGGCATGGTCACAAAGATGCAATCTGCTGGCGTCCTCATCAAGTCTCAGGGGGTTTGCAGCCCCGAAGAACTCGTAGTCGTACATCGGCTGTAGCTGCAAGGCATAAACCTAGATCTCAGGATGTGATTCTCATGTGCGCACTCAGCACAATGGAACAAGCCTGCTGTAAAACAAACTCGTCGTTTGTGTTTCCCCTGCAGCTACAAGCGGATTTGCCTGCACGAAAAATCATGCAATATCATGATACATATGAAAATGATTATGGAAAAACACGAAAATGATGACGCAACTCTGACAAATGATGAAAAATCAGGAACTGTCAAGAGGATCCTGTAATATCGTGCAACTTTGATGAATATGATGAAAATGGTGAGAATTGTCAAAGCTGATGAAAACCTTCAAAGCTGATGAAAGATGATGGGCATTCCTTTCTCTTTCCTTCCTTCCTGCCTGCTCTCCTCCCGACAGGGTGTAGGGTCGAAGCCCAAGCATCAAAAAAAGATATTCCAGATTGGTGTACTCCCCCCAGGAAATAGAGCATAAGTTTGTTTTGATTCTTAAAAAGTTTCTTTTTTATGCTTAGAAAGTTGGTTTGATGCTATAAAGTGTTCGTTTTGCCCCATCGCCATGATTGTGGCGTTGGGGGAAGGGGAGACGGGGACTCTTCCCAGCATCAGATATGTGGCCCTACAGCAAGCAAATGATGCCAAATATGCCAACAAGTTATAGCTCCCCCTTAAGTAGACAGAATATGGCTTTGGGTATATTACAATAAGGTCCCCATATATCCCATACTCTATCTACTTAAGGGGGACTATAGGGTGGAGCTACTCAGACTCCCTCAAAGCTCGAAAGCTGCAGGATTTTTTCAAAGCGGAATGGCCGGGACCGACTCACTCAATTTTCCTAGTGGTAATAGTAATGATAAGAATAGTAGTAATAATAGGTAATAGTAATAATAACGGCAATAATACCAGTAGTAATAATAGTAATAATGCGGGAATAATAGAAGTACTAGCAGCCGCCAAAGGCAACCTCCGGTTTTGCCCCCCCTCCGAGACCTGTTTGTTTCAGCCTGCCTGGCCTGGCAGGCGAAATCCTAGCGCCCGCTAGCAGAGCTTAGTGGAGCTTGTACGACTCCCAAGAAGTTGTGGGAATTTTCACTATTTGCTCGTGGTAGCTGCAGGAAACCTCCACATTTACCCTTCCCACCCTTCCATTTCTGAAATAAGGGTTTGCAAGCGAAATCCTAGCACCTGCCGGCAACAGAACGATGGTGAAGCTTCCATGACGAACCGCGTGCGACCTCTTTTCGAATTTAACCAGCCTGGAACTACCCCTCATTACCCCTCTGTTACCCATTTTTAGGGTGGCTGCTCTATGCCTCAGGTCCAGGCTGAGCAGAATACGCGCAGTCGAATAGCCTCTGGCGATGCCAGCGCCGGTGGGCCAAGCGCATCGAATACCTCCTCGGCGCTTCGGTTCCTGGCACCCCCTCTGATCTGCCAACTCAATAAAACACTGGCACAATTAATGTCTCTCGCCTCATCAACCCTCTGAAGGTTGGGAACAAACGTTCCGCGAGCGGAGTTGCAAAAGCAAGAGTTTGCAGCACCTGCAGCAAAGCTTTACAGATCTTTCTGAATCTTTCGGACTTGCTGATGAATCCAACCTCCTGAGGAGGATCACACTCAGCCTCCGCTGTGCCATCTGACCTGAGGGGTCGCTGCTGTTGCTGCCAGGGTTTTGACGGGCTGGGCACAGCCGCGCCCAAGCATCCCACGGTGCAAAATACAGCCGACATATAGCCAAAAGGATGTCGTCTCTGCCACGGTCAACCGATGAGAGCAGTAGGCGAGCAAAGCTGCCACCTGCAGATACTTGGAATGCAAACCTGCCACATAGCCTCAGATTCTTTGAGGCTGCTGCGATTCAAGGCCAGCGCTGCCTTGGCACTTGCTTTGGCGTCCTCCGCCCCATGGCCCATCTGCTCCTAAAAATGTCACGGTGCACACTGATGCTTTGAATGAGGGGGGCAGTGTCCTTGGCCCATGCCAGCCAATGAAGGAAGGCCAACAGCTCGGATGCAGATGAGAAGCCGCTTTCGTGGTGGAGGGCAAATCGCTCCTGCTGAATTTGATGGCAGGATATGGCAAGGTCGATCTATGGCAACAGCCACCAGCGCAACTGCACGCTACGTTTGCGGTTCAACCCCAAATTTATTGAATGATGGCAAGCTGCCAAGGCATGAAGCAACAATTTACACGAGCGGTCTCCAGAATCACAACCATGTTGACCAGGACATGGGCCGCACTGCATGTCCTTGTCCACTCCGACAACATGCTTGGCCAAAGTGAGGCTTACGGCTTCCAAACCCTACCAGGCCCTACCAGTGCTGCTACCTTCTTGAACTGCCAGGGTCCCCACCTGTTGCGCGAGGTCGCTCCTAGTACTCCTGCTGTGCGAACGATTAAAGAGCACAAGCCTGGCGCGGCAAAACCCCTGGATGTGACACCAAGGCGCAGCAACGCATAGCGACGCGTTGAGCACCGGGCGCCGCAGTGACTGTACGAGGCTTGGCTTAGCCATCTCCTGGAATGAAGCAACATGAAGCAACCTATTTCCCAAGCAAGCCGAAACACGAGGCTCCTCGCTGGCACACAGGCTCTCACCAATCTGCGGAGCTGACAAGAGCAGCGCCAGCAACTCCTCACAGGCATCGAACATAGATTTTCAAGAACGAAATACGACATCCTAGGAGACTCCTGCCGGCTGCGTAAGGACTGCTCAACTGTTGCTAAAGAGATCGCATCCAAGCCGGAGCACCTTGCAACAGGGACGCTGGCTGTCCACTTGGGATGTCATCTTAGCCAAGTCACATCAAGTTGACCATGTTGGCCACCTGGCAATGAAGCATGCAGGTCGAGCACTTCAGTGTATGCACTGCGTCTGAAGACCTGCTGGGGCTCAGAAGAATGACAAAGCGGTGGCAACACCTTGCCCATTGGCCGCATGGTTACTACTTCGAGTGCCACGGCATGCACTAAACACATGTCCAGGCCTGAAAAAGATCAAGCCTTCGCAGAAGCTGGGCCTCGCATTCTCTGGGGCACTGCCACTGGCTGCACTTTTGAGTTTAAGCTGTGGAAGCTGTGGCTGCAGCAACTGCAATACCTGAATTGATTCCCAGCCTCAGCTCTTGCCAAATGCCACAGGTTCGACATGGCAGTAATTAGATGTTGCCTGCGGCACTTTGCTTATTAAGGCCCTGTCGCCTTGTATTCAGGGCTGGGTGAGAAGAGCACCTCAGTCATACGAACCGTCTGCATCTGCTGAACTGCAAAGCCAGATGGAGGTTTTCAGACAACGGCAGGTTCCAGCCTATAGCTAAGGGCTGTCAAGTTCCCCAGAGAACAGTCGCTTTCATGTAACCTTCTTCATGTGGAGCCTTTGCGTCTAAGCTTACAGTCCACTTGTTGGCAACACTTGTCGGGGTTCGGACTAGTCTTTTGCTTAGCATAAATCTTGCGAGGTACCTTCTGCATAGTCAGCAGCAGCTGGGCAGCGTCCATCAATCTTTGACAGGCCAGAAGTGCTGCCAGCAGCTTCCTTGTTGGGAGCAGATTCCAAATATGTGAGCAGCTGAGCAGCACAGCTAAGCGTAACGTCCCTTCCACTTTCTGCAGATACTACGTTGTTCAGGCAAGGGACTCTAGAAGGGCCAGTAGGCCGTTTCGCGTAACATCCTTGGGCACTTGGGTGTCCTCCATGATAAGCACTTGGAAAATGTTGCCTTAGCATGTCAGCACCAGGCCACCAGGCACCACGAACTTACCCCGACAACCCTGTTCTGTGGCGGAAGGTAATGATCATGAGAGCCTGACAGCCTTCGGCCTGGAGGCCAGAAAAGAGGAGCAACTCCAAGACTTGAGACAGCCTTCCCTCGTCTTTCTGTTTCCTCGCGGGTTCGGGTTCAGCATTGGAAGCTGCACAGAACGCTTGATTGAAGCAAAGCCTGAAAAAGAGCGCAAAGAGCCGCATGAGTGGCACCAGCCTGAGAAGAGTGCGAGCGATATCGAGCGCGTTAAGCAAGAGCACTTCTCCCTTGAAGCTGCTGGGACGCGAGCGCATGAAAAACAAACTTGGCCTTTTGCGGTGCTGGCATTCCACCACTGACCTGAGCGCGGATTACTTCCCTTGGAGATGGGCTTTCATGTTGCCTGGTCTGCAAACCGACCTTGCTGATAGCGGCATAGCGCTTGTCAAAGACCTTGCAACCAAACGGCAGAAAACCAAGATGAGGATCATCATCGAGTCCTCTGAGTTCCTTGCCTGACGCTTTTCTGCTCCCTGGAGCTCGCGACATCTATGGCCGCGGTACACAGCCTGCAAGGTGAGGTCCGTTGACATTTCCAGCACCAAGACGACAACGCGGGAGTCTTGCGCCTGAATCTTTTTCGAAGCCGCTTCACGTATCCTGTCATTCTGGCCATGGACCCTGAGTAAGGACCGCCAAGCGGGGTGTGAGGTTGATCAAGAGTACTTGCAGGCAGTCTGAATTTTGACTTGAGAATGATTACGGTTTGGGGCCTTTGGCTTGGCTTTTTTGACTCTTTTGGGGGGGTGGGCTGGGAGGTTGGCATAGTTCTGGACACGCTTCGCATGAGGTTTTTAGATGCTAAGCTAGCTGAGCCTGCTAAGCCTTGCTAAGCAGGACAATTTCCTTGGCATTTTGCAACAAATGATGTGTGACGACAGGGGGCAGCTTGAATGATTGCCTGTGCCTTGACGCCGTCACAACGCATACAATTGTGGCATGCTCCTTCGTCTGAAATGGGCAGCATGCTTGGCTGCGGCCATATTTCCAGAACATGCCACGAGTAGCTGCTCCAAAACACACACGTGAGCTTCAAGCCTCTTGCGCTCACGAGCTTCTCGCTCCTGGTGCTGACCTTCGTACATGGAATCAATCTCATGAATCTCAGGTGGAAAGTCCAATCAGCTACATGCTGGGCGCAGGACGCTTGACAAAGTCAGAACGGCTTTCTTCAGCAGCAGATCGCGCACCTTTCCTTCCACCTGAGGAAACATCCCACACGTTTGCAGCAATGTAAGGCTCGGCCTTTCACGAGTCACACAGGCCTCTGCCACTGAGATTTACGCGACTGTTTGAAGTTACCTGCTGTCACTTCTTTTGGCTTCCAATTCCCATCTGAATGTAAGCACGCGAGCACCTTCCCGTCAAAGTCAAACATTGCAGTTGGCGGTGGAAAATTCAAGCGAATTCTGTTTGATGCGGGAAATGTTGCTTGTTTTGTGTTCTGGTTGTGTGTTCTGAAAGAGTGGTCTTCTTTCACTTTGTGGCTGACATGCAGACCCTGTCGTCATGAAGCTTTTGAATGGGCTTTCTTTCTTCTCACCACAGGTACAGCCCCAGCTAGAGCCGTATATAGCCGTAGAAGACGCAACTCACATCGGAAGCAAATGAAAGCGGTCCAATTTCGCTAGCCCATAAACTCTTTTCAGGCGCTTTGATGAAGGGCCATGTTATGATCTGGGTTGCAGACGCAACCCAGATCCGGCCTTGCCTGCATGCTGCAAGGAGTGCTCCTGAAGCTTGCTGTACACATCAGGCACCTTGAGCTATATGATTTCAGGCCATCACGCTTGGATCGGCCGAATTTCTGAACGAATTAGCTTGCATAGCTGCTGAAACAAAAGGAAGTGTGTCCAAACATGCTAACGCTTGCCAGTAGCTATGCAAGCCTTAGTGCTTTATTGCAACAGTTGCCGGCACGGGCACATGCCCGCACCCATCACATTAACTTGCTATGTGCCCAAAGACTCCCGAACAGCTTAAGATTCGGAGCTTTACCTGGCTGTTGGCCTCAATGCAGCGGCGGTCTGGCTTTGAATGGTGTACCTGCAGCGTATTGCTCAGTACGTGCAACATGGCAGACACCCTCAATGTATCTAATGCCAGAGGCGATCTCCTACATACAAACTTTGAGCTTCACGAGTCCGCTCGCCGTGAGTTCTGCTGTTGAGCCTTGCCCTCGACGAAGAGGAAAGCAACCGGCTTTAGATGGAGTGTTGATTCTGTCCAAACCTTGGTGCAATGGCGCCCTCACTGGCGGGGCAATGCGGCGCACTTGAGAGCTTTCGCAGATCCAACGCTAAATCAGTCAGGACCTTTCTTGCGGCGGCCAGGGCTGTTCTGTACATGGCAACAGCTGGCCAGATATCAGCGCCAGCTCTTCTTCACTGCTACCTTGTTTGATAGCGAACAGAGAGACAGACAGACGGACGGTCAGACAGAGAGACAGAGGTCAGGCGACGCGCTCGTGAGGCCGTGCGAAATTGCGGTGCCCCTTCTCAGGCCGACAGGAATCTCACCAGTCCTTAGTTGGTCAGGGTGGGCGGGATCGCATGAGGAGCGCTAGAGACAGAAAGACCACACGTGAGACAAGTATCCGACGGCAGCCACAACGCCTGTGAGCGGTCGCAAGCGGGCGAGTGCAAACGTTTGGCAACACCCTTGCTGCAACCATGCCTGAAGCAGCCGGAGCACGCGACTGCCCTGTGGGCTCCCAGGTTCCAAGCAGCTCGCGAGCGCAGCTCTTGACCTCTGCACCAAGCAGCGCCTTCTGCCCAATTTGTAAGACAACCCTTGAGGCCTCGGTGGGATCAGCAGAGATGGCTGCCGCATCGGCACGGACCTCTGCCAGGACCTTGAGAAGAAAACTTAACTACCAGCAGACCGAATCCTCAGCCATTCCTGATGGCCTCTTCCATCTTCAACTCGGCAGCACAGCGGTCTTGTGACCAGTTGTGGTGACAATAAGCTGACGATTCTTCCCAGAACCTCCTGCACAAAGATACCAGTTCTGCATCCTCTCTATCTGGAGTTCCCGTGTTGCTTGTAGCTTTAGCTTTGGCCAGCACACTTGAAAGCAGGTCGCCAAGGCTGTGGGACAGAGAGCTCACAATAGCCAGGTGAGTCAGCGCCTGCGATGCGTCAACAGAAGGAGCTACGCTTGCCGTGTGAGGCCCACCTTCCCACCACTGTTTGCAGACGCACGAGCCCAAAGAAGTGTCCTTTGCAGAAATGTTTTCTTCATTTGATCCTTGCGGCTCAGTGCGCCCAGCGGCAGGACGCGGGCATTCAGTGTCGAGTCGGCAGCCACGTCCTGCCAGTCTTGAGGACCCGTGCTTGACATCCGAGATGGTAAGGCAACAGTAATGTCTTGGGCTGCCGACCGCTGATTAGCGGGTTGCCATCTTCAAGCTCAATAGCTGGCAGCTCAGCACACTCCTGCAACAGGGGTGTTGGGCATCTTCACATGTGGTCTGCATCCTGTGAACACGCTGCATTAGTGTGACAAGGGTGTCCTGCACGCGTGGATCCACATAGTTGGTCATGCACAGGTGCCCGGCACTGCTTCGTGAACCAGCTGTCAGGCTGTACTCCTGCAGACGAATCGAGCGACAGAGCTAAGGAGAGAAGGGCAGGCTGGCTCCCTTGGTCTCCCGGGTGCATCGTGGTGTCTCCAGCGCCAAATTGCAGCGAAAGCCGCTGAGGCACTCGTTGGCATGGAGGCCGCTGCAGGAATGGCCTAGCCAAAAAATCCCCCGACACACCTCTGCAAGTAGCTTCCGTTAGCCTGCTGGAAGTTGTGGAGTACAAACTCCGAGGAAACCTGGGTCTGGGAGGTGAGCTTGGAAGCACAGCAGCGATTGCGATTGGTAGCTCTTCGGGCGGCTGAGACTTAGCCCAGGAACAATACCAGCCCATGTTGCAGTCGATATCTCGTCCGTCGGCACGGGCCTTGGATCTTGCGGGCATCATTCATGCTGTCAGGTCAACTTGGCCAAACGTTTGCCATGCATTCCGGAGTTGATTGGATTGTAGAAGGGTGTGGGATGGAAGTGAGGCCCCAGCACTGCAGGGAGACCCAGAGCTCAAGCCCAGACAGCGTCCACGAAAGCAAACTCGCGAGCCGGTTACCTCAGCAAATGGTGGGGTAGGCACCGGCCAGGGCCAGACGTAGAAGAAGCACATATCACAGCCAAAGCTCGCATAAATCGTTTGGATTTGCAGCATCACACACTTGGTGTGTCAGCAATGCTCTCCGGCAAACCCTCTGCAAGCACCTCAGCTGCTCAGAGAGTTGAACCTCACTCACGTCACCTCCTCTTGAAAGAGTTGGATTCTGCAAATGGCTATGCACAACCGCTGCGCAATTCGTTGATTCTTGAGGATTCATGTGTACCGGCCTCGCGAAGGGACCCTCGCAATCTTCGTCGTAGTAGCACTCTGCACCTCGCTGATGTGCATACATCACTTGCTTGCTTCGACTTGCATCTACAGAATCTACAGCCATTGACCTGGCGGCCGCTTCTGCTCTGGATCCGATTGGCAACGGCTTTCGCCTAGGAGGACGACACACGTCACAACACGACGTAGACACTCAGACGGTGTGGTTGAGTTGCAGGCAAGGGAGTGTGGCAAAGCAAAGCCTCAGCTGGAACCATGCATTCCACCCCAGGCTATACGTAGTGCGCCATGCTTTGGACCGCTTTGCTAAAAAGGTTCGAACAGAACGGAGCTGTCTCCGGGCAGGCGCCGAAAGACCGTGCTCCAAGCGCTCGAGTCACCGTGGTTACCGTGGTCTTCCTTGCAGCATCTTGGAAGACATCACGAACTAATGCAGGCAGGTAAACATAATTTTTTGCAGCCAGTTCAATCAACTACTGGGATTGCAACTCGAGCTCTTGAAGCAGATGGGGGGATCTTGAGTTGAGTCTGCCGGCAAACAGTTGCGAATCTCGCATTGGATCTCCTTGCGCATCGCCAAGACACCACCAAAGATGTCTGGAGCAGGAGCTTACCAAAAATAGGAGTCCTGCGCAGCGCTTAGCCAGAGGGTAGCGTGGAGGACTGCGCCCAGGAAAGCGTCCATCCTTTTGTTCGCCACAGCCCGACCATGGCGAGCTGCTTCAGGATGGGGTGATTCTAGGTTGGATCTCTCGCTCAAATCGAGTGGACTTACTTGGTCGTCTGCTGCTTTCATGTGTAGCTCTTCGGTACCTCTAGGCCTTCTTTGGACCTATGCAGCTGCAGCCCCGTGCACCTGTATGACCAACCTCAGCGACACAAAGACGCAGTTCTGGGATCCTGGCGCTCCTGGAGCTTGCGTGTGCTATCTCGTCGCAGCTTGTATACCCTTTCCAAGGCTCAAGATTTGCTTTAAAAGGTTGCACTTGACAAGGTGAATTCGCTGCATGGTCGTTTTGTCCGGAGCTCTAGTTCTAAATGTCGGGAATTCCCCAGCACCATGGGTCTTGTTCCTGTTCGCCCTTGCTCATGCGTCCGGACATCAACCATGCCCACTTCTGCTGCTTGTACTTATACACGTGCAAATCTGATCAACAAGCGCTATGCCGGCAAGGGCTGACACCAGTCCAGGTTGCGGCGGTTGGGCATGATTATGCCAGTGCATCGGCTCTACGGCAAAGGAGGGCGAAGGAAACTAGCGCACCAGCAATCCGATCACACCTTGCAAAATGGACTTGTACAATCATGGCTGCTTAGGCCACTGCGTGCTTCCAGGGCCTCAATAAGGTGGAGGTCCTGTAGAGCTGCTTGCGGGGAAGTTTCTTCGCTTACATGCGGATCCAGAATCGACCGCGCTACCTCGCGCAACGCGTACGCAACGCTTGGACCAGCAAGGCCAGTCACTTTCTGCAGCAACTGTCCAGACAGGTTTCGCAACTCCACCTTCGCTCTGGACACGCTCAGCGTGCCGTTCGTCCCGGACAGCCGCAGGTCCAAATCTGTAAGGCCGGTGATCTCTGCTGGGGTAGGCATTGGGGCACTCAAGGAGAACAGCCAACTTCCTGGAATGGGACTTTCAACGGACCCTGCTTTGAGCAATGCTGCGAAGGTGTCAAAGGGTAAAATCTTTGGCCTAACCCGACGCCCAACAACTCGCTGCCGAGTATAGCGTGCAAAGCCGCTGCAAGGTGCACCCCCACATCTGCGATCCAGCTTGATCCCTGCATTCGCCAGGATTCGGAACTCATGTAGGGCAAGTCATCCGGCATATAAGTCACGGAGTTTGCTGAAAACGCAACGACCTGCCCGATGGCTCCTGAGCGGATTGCTGCCTGTGCAACACGGAAGGCGGGCTCAAATCGCCAGTTCTCACAAACGAACCACTGGCAGTTGCTCATGCCCAGTGTCTGGCTCGACAACTTCCATGCATCAAGCACATCGGCTGCTTGAGCGGAATTGGAAGCCACAGGCTTCTCTGAGACCACTGACAAGCCTGCTGCCAAAGCTGATTTCACAAACCATGGCTGTGCTGATATGGGAAGAACTACGTCAATCAATTCGACCGCGCGCTTCCCAGAAATAATCTCGCTCCATCCCTGATCTCCCCACAGGAACGCCGGCGGAGTTTGACCACGCTCAGCCACCAACCCAGACAATGCTTGGGCAGAGGATGCCGACTTGCTCCACACCACCCTCAGATCAAAACAGGCTTTGTCCAGAAGCAACGATGGGAGGTGAGCTTTCTTGGCAAAGGTTCCAGCGCCAACCAGCGCAACTGCAACGCGACGGTTGCAGGTCGACGTGTTCAAATGCAGCGTGACTTGCTTAGCGATGCATGCGAGGTCATCAGAAGAGCATGATGCCTCCAAACTTGCACAAGCCCAGTTCAGGAATCGCAGCACAAGAAGAATTCGACACACGAAACCATCCATTACGTAGGCTGCACGTGTGGCTGTCAGAAGGCTGCTGACTGCGGCATGAAGGAAGTTTCAAGCAGAATGACGCCCAGAGTCCAGACACATGAATTATTAATAGCGGAAGCCTCTCTTCACCATCGGCCCGAGCATGTCCAGACTCTGCCTTTGCCTTCGCTCCGTACAGTTTGTTTCTTGCTCTTGAGCTATGAGGCTTTTGTGAATGTTTCTGGTGTCTGCGCCTTCTCCAGGTCCTTCCGCATACAGGCGATTGCCTACCAGGTTTGCAAATTAGGCCTGATACAATTCAAGCTTTTGCCTTTCTTCCCTGCACTGCGCACCATAGCTGTGCTAGCACTGGGCCTGCGACTGCTTCAGCATGTGCGCCTCTGACTCTTTCAAGGTGTCCTGTCAACAGTTGCTTAGGATGCCGTCTCTTCAAACTCGGCATGCCGGCGCCTGGAGCTCAGCTATCCGTCCTTTCAGGAAATCTGCCTCCGTATTGAGACCTGCCACCTGACATTGTCGGGCTTGAGTCACGCGTCGACAGAGATCAGAAGCCCTCGGAAGCCCGTCCTTCCCTTCCAGAGTGCCGATGTGGCGCACATGCTCCAAGAGCTGGCCCTTGGTCCCTGGCAACATTCTATTCTAACTGCTAACGAATGCTATGCCAATCATGGCCCTATGCCACAGACATCAACATGTTTTCCTATGAAATCCATGAAATGTGTGAGGGCATGTGCCACAGCTGGCCTTCCTTGCTTTCTGAATGTAGCTTTCTTTCTTCCTCGAGCTCTTGTCGCACGCCTCGCCGGCGTTGCAATGATGACATTCAAACAACGTAACGCAAGCATAAGCCACCCAGCCTGCAAGCAGTTGCTGATGCTCCGTCCGGTCCGAATCATGGGCTTCGGTCAGCGCTTTCCGCTCGGCATGCAACTGCACGTGCAAGTCCTTGACAGCTGTTTCCGCTTACCACCTATCAAATCATAAAAGGAGCAGTGCGGAACTTCTTAATGCTCCTGGATTTTTTCTTGATGCTTTTCTCGATGTGACTCCCGCTCACGCTTCAGCCTCCGTCCCCCATGTCAGAGCCCTGCGATTCTGCACTACGCCGACAGTGCCAACAGCGATTCAGTAGGCTGAAGCCGAGGGACTCTTCCCGCTCGGCTCGGACCTGTTCCTGCTCAGGTTGGAAGGGAGAAAGTTGCAAGGAAAAGGAGAGAGACAGAGAGAGACTTTTTGATCTTGAACAAGGAACCTAAATCATCCCTTGCGCGACACTCGGGAGATGAGCCCTGCGGACCCCGCCTTTTGAAAAGGCCTATACTACACGGCTCTAAGCTTACCCAGAGGATGCTCCAGCGCTCCGAGCTCCAGTAACGTTGACATCACATTAATGACAACACCGACTATACCCACACTGAAAAAATCCGGCCACCGGATCACAAGTCGGATTATACACACAGTTATCGTTCCCGGACAATATCATAAAAAAATATTGTTACTGATCTTACGCAAATTCATGTTAAACAAGAATTATTTCGGGCATTGTTAATTATTCTGTGGTCCCGCAACATGGACATTCATCAATCTAGGGGGGGCAGAGAGGGGTGAGGGGGCCAAGGGGGCTTCAGCACGAAGCCAAAATTACTAGGAACCATTGGACCATTTACTGCAAGCAGGCCAAGTTTGGAATCCACTGAAAACGGAAGTACACCTGGTTAAAGTAGAAGGCCAGAGTCTGAGATTGAGGACGACCTACAGTGCACTGCCATCGAGGCTGACTGGAGCGGGAGCGAACACTCTGGAGTGAACGTCGCCACATTCACGAAGATGAAAGCGCTGCAGGAATAACGCAAGCATGCTCGCTGGTGCAGCACGAGCCTTGTCGGACAAAGTGAAAAAAGTGAAAGATGCCCATCAGTTGCAAAAGTGTCCGCCACGACTGCTCTGCTTGACCCGAGGATCATCACCAACAAACATCGCAAGCGCGGGAGACCATACATCGAGTGCCAGCTAACAGGACAGGTTCCAGCCTTAGTGCGAGAGAGAAAGAGAAAGAGAGAGAGAAAGAAAGAGAGAAACAGAGGGAAGGAGAGAAAGAGAGGGAGAAAAAAGAGGATGGGGCGGGCCGGGGGCGGTGGCAGGCGATAAATCATTTCTAGCAGGATTGCCTTGGCTCGCTGGAGTTCAGCTTGTGCCTCGCGGAGCTCCTTTGTGCAAAGGTTCTGGTGGACAACGCAATGAAAGCACGGTCACTTGTTGTGTCCTCCTGGAGCTGCAAGTTCTGGCGTCCAGCGGCCTAAAAGTGCCAATCATTTGCGTGCGGTGTTCCTTGCCTGCACGTGTGATAATGACATATACTTAGTCCCTGCCTCAGCCGCTGCCTCGTTGCAACGTTGGCTGGCCAACCGCTCTGCAGCGGCCTGCTGCCACGAGCTGCAGTCGTCTCCAGTGCAGATTGTGCCCTGCCTTCGATGCCAGCGCGCGAGCAGCCTCAATGCGCACGGCACGCTTCTTCTGTGCAACCGCTGTAAGCCCAAGTGGTCCGAGCAGCCTCCAAATCCTGCTGCAAGGCCAGCTCCTTCTCCTGGCCATTCTTGTTGAGAACCTCCCATGGTTGCATGGAATCGAACAACGCTCACCTACTTTTCCGGGCTGTTGGGCAGACAGTTCAAAGAATCAAGGTAACTACTCCGGAGCACATCATTGCACTCTTTGGGCTCTGCACTTCAAGAGCTTGTGGCCTGCAGCTCTGTCTCTCGAGCGCGTGCCTGGCAGGGATGCCATGAATGGAGCTCGTACAGCTCAGCAGCACGCCTCTTCGAGCTCAACTTGAGCTGACTGCAGCTGCTGCTGCCCGTCATCTTGTTCTGCCACCTTCCCCTTGCATGAAGTCATGTAGTAAAGCATGCTTGGGAAGAAATGGGTGCAACTGCCTGCAGCTCCACTGTCTTTGCCTCTTTGCTTTGGCTCGCCTGGCGCCACCGATCAGCGGCCTGCAACGGTTGTCCGAGATCTGAATGTTTTAAGGCTCCAGGCAACGGAAAGCAGCCCACCTGCCTTTTTGATGGCCGCCTGCTGCACACAGGTACGAGGCAACACAGCACATGCGCACCTTCACTGCTTGCCACTTTACAGCCTATGGCTGCTGGGGTTGTAATTTTGTCTGACATTCATATCGGAACGACCGTCCATCTTATAAGCCCGCAATCAGTTTCCAGCTTCGTTTTGTTTTCCATGCTTCTTCTCATTTTTGCCTGCCTCCCTCCCCTGAAACGGTGAGGAATGCAGGCGCAGATTGGAGATGAAGCTTTGGGGACAAGCTTGCCACCATGCTTGCAGTATGTGTATCTTCCCAACTCGGGCCAGCTTTGCCCCTCGGCTGGTTATCCAAGAGATCTTCACGACCTGCACCCTTCATGTCTTTCACAGGCTTGTCTTGTCCAGATGTTTTTGAGCAAAGAAAAGGAGAACCGCCGCCAGACAGGAACAACTTCTATTTAAGAGGCTCTCACGGCGCCAGGATGTCAATCCAACAACCTCATCCGTGGCTTCCCTGCTTTTTTGGCACTTGCTCTGACTGTCGAAGCAAGTCCTGTCACCAGGCACACTTTCTTGCCCTTGTCGTTCAGGATCTGCCCTCAAGTGATTGCGTCTTTTCCCACGCACCCCCTCTCTTCCCCAACCCCTGAGTGGGCCTGCTGTTTGAAGTCATCTGCCAACAACCCTTGCCACTGCACACATCCGCTACACCGCCGAGCGAATTGTCACCCTTCAACCGTTGATGCTGAGGCAAGGAGTACACTGCGACAATGAATGGCTGCGGCAACCGCTGTGATGCGGATCAGCAGTGATAACCAGCTCGGATGTTGCCCTGCCTTCGTGGCCTCGAGCTCTGCACGCACGTTGCCCTCCAACTTAGCTGCCTGCTCACCCCAGGCAAGTGCCCGCCGCTGGGCTTCCGCTGACTGCTCAACCTGAGCTGGGTGAGGGCATGACATGGCATGACACATGGAATGACACATCCTGTTAGGCACTCGCTGTTGCGACCACAGAAGTGCGAGCAACTGCCACTCTTCTGGCCGCAGCCTGCATTCTTCTCATATTTTTTCACAGCTGAAGACAGCACACAGCTGACTTCTACGGCTCCTCGATGGCTGCACGCCCGGCTCGGGCTACAGTGGTAGTAGGCAGGTGCTCCTTAGCTTAGCGGCTTAGCCTTTCGCGGCAAGCTGGTGTACGGCATGGAGCACTATTTCAATTCGAGGGTCCAAGAGCTTACCAAGATCTGCTGAGATCTTTTCGCCTGCGCAAATCCAAAGCCAGCAGTGCCAGTCAAATGGAAGCTGCAACAAAGAGCATGCCTTCTTCTATGGTGCCTTCGGTGTTGTCCAGCCAGTCCTGCATATTATGTATGAATCTCTTCAGTCACATTCCGGCTGCGTGTGCCAGGGTCTAGTACTCCGCCTGCCACAGCTTCAAACTTTGTGAAAGCTGCTGGTCTGCAAGACGCCCGTTGTGCTGCCGCACTTGCAGCTCCTTGACAGGTCCGGGCACGAACCTTTGCTACGAACTTTGAGAGAACTGGCAGTCCTCTCGGGCAAGAGTTTCCTTCAGTTCTTGCCAGTACTCCTTTCGCACCTCCTCGTCACCTTTTGCAAAGCAATTGGCTTCTTCTAGGCTGGAGTGGCGGGGAAGACAGGATCCCACCAACTGCTTGTTCTTCCCATCGGTCTTTCAACCTTGATCCACTCGCTGCACAAGCTTTGCTTCAGGTGCACAGGCTTCCAGTAAAGTGGCTCATGGCGCTGGGTACGAAAAAATGCCCGAAGGGCTTCATCTGTCATTGGAAGCTGCGTGCCGTCAGGCAGGGCCTGCCGAGCGTAGAGAAAAGAAACGAGACCCTGCTACTCCTCTCTCTCTCTCTCTCTCACACCAAATACGCTCCCCGGAGCCCGTTTCGACTGCACCCCTTGCTTGTAGCGTCGCTGCACACCGCTCCGTGCTTCTGGGTTGGAATCACGCGTTGCTCCCACCGCAAGAATGTGCAAGCCTGCTCATTGTGCTTCTTCTCAACTAGCAATACTAGCTAGCATCCTGGAGTGTGGTCGGAAGACCCAAGGTGACCTGCGCATGCTGACATCCCCCCTCTGTAGTTTGCCTGTCTGGAAAATGCAGATGCTCCTATGATTTCTTGTTGCAGTGTCTCACTCCTCGTGAATCACAGATGAATATGAATAAAATTATGTCCTTTCACTAAGTTGTCCCTGGTGTTCTATCTCTCCCAATGGCCTGGCCAGACTTCAGGAGCTTGAGCTTCTGGGAAGCAACTCCCCGAAGCTCATCAGCAAGTCCGCCGCAAGTAGTGTGCTGCACCTCTCGCAACATTTTGAATGAAAGCATGTCATATTGTCTTGCGTTGCGCGCTAAAGTTCAGACCGACATCGAGCTGAGCTGCAGACGGCATCCCAGGCGCCCTTTACACTGAGCTGCTTGGACTCGTTCATGGCCTCCACTAGGTGCTTCAAGAGAGCCTTGGTCTTCGTGACTCAGCCATTGCAAACATAAACAGCCGCTGCTCCAAGCACCAAGTCTTGGACCGCGAAGGAGGCACAGCCAAGAGACTGACCCCCAACCATCTTTGGATGCCTCAAGCTCCACGGGTCACTGCCAAGCTCAAGACATTAGGCACATGCCGAGTGGCGAATGGCAAACGGCAACAAGTTGCGCCTGCATCGCCTGCACTTGCTGGCTTGACTTCGAGATGCCCGAGATGCATCTCTGCATCTTCAAACGTCGCCTCAACCCCAGCTCTGAACTCGCTTCGAAGAGACCTGCCGAACTTGATATCATCCACAATCAGTCTCTTGGACTACCCGTCCAAGCCCACTGCGCGTAAGGCGTTTCGCTGAGTCTTTGCAGCTCATTCTCCGCAGATATTGGCTGAACCAGTGTGGTGCAGCTCCTGCGCAGTAATTAAGCTAGATCAAGAGCTGTGAGAAAAAGCTTCCGGACCAAACCCCAAGATGCTTTAATTGTCGCTCTACCACTCCTGTGGTTGAAGAACTGTAGCAGGTTCTGTCGCACCTTGCACAGAGCGCGCAAAGATCTCGACCAAAGAATAGCACGCGAGTGACATCTGCCTTTTGCAAAGCCTGGCCTCCTTACCAGCTCCGCGGGCGTCTGCGGCATGCAAGGCTTGTTCCAAATACTCCTGCGATCATGTATTTCAGGTCCACATTGCCATACATGACATGGTCCACATGGGAAAGGTTTTTCTTTGAATGCCAAACTTCGCGCCGACGTCTCTTGAATCCAGTGCTACTGTACCTGTTCCTTGCATGCCAAAGGGCTTGCAGATACATTTTTTCTGGCACCGTATTTGCCGCTTCTCTCTTTGCATGTTAGAGCACCCCTTCAGCTGGCAGACAAGGCAGCCAAGCGGCATCGGAGCTCATGGTATGCCCTGCAGCATCACGTAATTCGAGGGCGAAGTCCCTCAACCTCAGTGAGCGCGCAAAGGATGGCCTGACCTTGACTGTGCGTGAGCTGGGCGCCCTGACACCCACAGCAGCGCAGGACGACTCACCTCCTGCTGACTTGGACTTGAAATGCTTGCAAAGCCACAGTCGCGAGTTCTTACGAAGTCCTGACCCCGCTCCTCTAGGTGCTCAGCCTCGTGCCATGCTCAAGAATTAGTTGCTCAGGACCCGAATGCCAATGCTGCGCTGGCAAGTCCCAAGCAAAGCGGCAAACCAACGCCAGTGAGCTGAACACCTGGCGGTTTTTTCAGTCTCATTTGGCAAAAAGACCGAAGCCTTCTGCAGCCTAGCCGCGCTCTCGCTTAGCGTGCCCTTCGTGTTAAGGACAAGGACGGACGACAGCAAAGAGCACAAGGACATCATCTGAGCATCACCTGGAGACCAGTCTTGGAGTCTCCACCTACCACTGCAGTACATGCCACTGCAACGAAAATATTTGACACCAAGTGGGCAGACGTGTGCGGTCAGAGTCTTGACTGCCAAATCCTTCACCTCGGGTCTCGGGAATTTGTGCCTTCTTGAGTAATTATTGTGCGAAACTCGGGATTGGGATTCTGAGTGCTTTGGCAGTCCAAGTAGGCCACCACCGGAGCATGCTCCTCCTCCGGGTCCTCAACAAAAACAAGTTGCGCAGCCTTTGCCACGCCACTGTATGCAACTGCCGGTCCTGGTAACTCCACAGCCAAATGCCAGCAGTACAAGCTCGTGTGCCTGAACCAACCTGCTAGATGCATGCCCATGAGTGCCCACGAAGGTGCAAAAGCTGGCCTTGAACTGACGCAGGTTTTGCTGTACTCGGTTGAGCAAAAGGTTCATGAGGTAGCCTTAGCTTCTGAGCTTCGCCAGCTGCATCAAGGTGCGTGCTTCTGGGTTCGTCTTAGCAGCTCTTCCCTGTGCCTTGAATACCGCAAACAGACACCACAGCAATGCCTGAGCGTCAGCAAAACTTTAGGAACGGAATTTGAGATTTGACCTGCGGTTCTAAGAATGCTTCAGGCTTCAGGGCAGGACGTCTTTCGCCAAAAGCTTCTAAAGCTTGCACGCCCTCGGTGCTGACCTCATACTTCCACCTGCTGCGCCAGCGCGCCGTCAGGCTAAACATTCGCTTTCCACGACGCAGACCTGCTTCCTACCCGTTGCACGTGCAGAAGCTGCACTGGCTCATCTAAAGCTTGGACCTGCTGCAAGACCATACAACAGAAGACAAACGTCAGCAGGCATTACCCTCAAGCTTGGCCTGGCAAAGATTGAAGATGGTGCTTGCCTGAACGCACGCACGGGACCTGTTCTAGATAATCAGCATCTCTTGGTCCAGTGTGCCCTTGCCTGCCGCAAACCTTAGTTGCCAAGTCCAGTGAGTCCAATATTCCGACCTTCAAGCTCGAATGCTCCAACATTTAAACAAGCCACGGGTAGGTTTCTGAAGCTTCTGAAGTGGGCTGTGAATCACCTCCTGATCGCGCTGCGCTCGGACGCGCTCCTGTCAAAGCATCCTCCTCCAACGACTCCAACTAGGCCGGACAGCCAAAGATCAAATTTGCTCAACCCCAATCATTAAGTCCCGTTCTGGTGGTACATCTGGCTTGCAATCCAAATTGTACGTGCCGTTCGGATTGATGCTCAGGACCTGCCCGAGGCCCGAGGCAGTACTGCTTGCAGGTGCCGAAGACGTTGCGAGGTGCAACTTGTGTACACCGAGCAGCTCTTGCCAAGATCCAGTCACTTTGAGATGCGCTGAAATACCTCAACTGCCACACATGAACGCACGCACACGCTTCGAAATCTCCCTACAGTACCGGGGAAGGCAGATTTGGACGAATGACCGAAGCAGGCCCCGTCACATCCCATTGCGCAAGTTGGATCCCCAGCTGCCACACTGGCCCAGGAGCGCCCAAATTTCAGCACCACACAATGAGCCTTTTGGCTGGCTGCTCCCTGCATTTTTTCTTGGCATATAGGCTTTCATGTTAGCCAGCGAAGCGGAGTGACATGTTTGTAGGGCCGGAGCTGCTTAATTCGCCGAGGCATCCAGCCTCAGGGCGTTCAGATCCCTTTAAAAACCCCCTCTGCTCCGCCTTGCAGGCTCATTTTTTGTTAAAAGGTTTTTGCGGAGGGTGTGAAGGCCCTGGAGGCCCCTGAGGCCCCTG